TGTGTAGAAGTATTACAGTGCATTTGCTACAGTCTATATTCCAATATCGAGTCTACTAATCATTCCTACAATGGTGTATTAGGAAAAACATTTCACGCTGCAATGAATGTGAAATTTATTTTTCATACGAGAGATATAATAATTATTAAGTAAATAATGTGACCTCCAAGAGGTTACAAACTGTTTAGATGACATACCATTGTTTTCTTACTCATACAATTATACACTATTTCATTTAAAGATGATATAGTTACATTTTCCATTCTTAAGACTTTGGTAGTAAAATCTGTTTATACTGTCTCTGTAAGAAAAGCGTACAACCATAATTGGCAGATTAGGAAGAGTTAGGTCACATGTACATATATCATACTATTTACTACTTTTAAGATCGCTGTGGGTTTCTAACGCACATATCTTATTTGTGACATGTTAATTACAATTTTAAGATGAATTTTCTTCTATGCTGCCTTCATATAAAAGTTTAGAGTTTCAAATGCCTATTGTTCTTAGAATGCTATCCTAGATTTGATAATCTCGAGAAATGTATGTTTATTGACATTAACCAGCTTCTTCTAATTCTTAAAGTGATCAATTCTGTTTGTAATATTGTTTATCTTGGTTCCCTCTAGTTCTAGATTGTCAAATATTAATTGTCACTCTTTTCCTTTCTAAATCAATTTAAAAATATGAAGCAATTATTTTGTATAGTGTCGAATAACAGTATATAATACACGACTAGTAATTGCAAAATACAAATATTGTATCGGTCATAATATTACATAAAACACTGATAACTGCATATAAACAGATCATAAACTTTTCTCATATTAACCTCTCTATCCATATGAAGTTGGAAAAACATGTGATTTTACTTGCTCAAAGAAAATTACTGTGTGATAGACAATACATGGTATTAAGATACTAATGATGAACAAAGGATTGCACAGAAACTACCGATTAGGCCACTTTAATTATTTAACTTAATCAAAAGTGAAATTATGCCTCTGTCAGAAATATGCAAACTTCAACAGCTTCTTGTAATTTCGATCGATCCAAAGAAAGTTTTATCTCATAAATTTTATTGTATGTAAATCTTAAACTTCCAGATGTTCAAATAAACACTGAAACTTGCTTCCAAATCATAAAACTAATATCGAACATTTATATTATTATATTTCATGTTTTCTGCTATGA